TATCAGAAGTGATTTTCAGAATTCAATATATTTTAAAGTATCAGCGCTACTAGCTCATATATATTTTACAAATACTTTAGTTACTGTCATTTCAGGTTTAAGTGAAGGCTAATATTGAATCAGTGTACACTTTCCATAGTTTTCACCTGTTTGGATGGCAGGGCTGTACAGCTGCCAGTCTCTAATCCAGATACCATTTCCAAGGCATAAAGAAGTCCTTTTAGAATTCACAAGTCTTATATAAGACAAATTATATAAAATAGCACGAAATTCCACACTAAAACTATATATGAAATTAGTTTTTTAGATTTCATCAATCCCGAAATCCAGCTAAAATTAATCAATCATATAATGCATATCAATGAAATAATAAGCATAATTTAAAAACAATATAAATTAGAAAAAACCCTATTCTACTGAAAATCTCAGTAAGTTTTTCCTATTTGTCATCTACTTTAACTATCAGTTTCTACAAATGAATCCAAGAGCATTATTTTAGATTTACACTTATAACCATGGAGTAGAAGTAAATGGCAATTACTTCAAAAGCTTCTTTGCCAGAAATACTTCCTCTTAGCTCTCTATTAAGAATTATATATTTATAGCTTTAATCTTAGATCACATAAAGTCATTATAGAATCAAAACATACATGTCTCACAGAGCAGAGAATGCTTTTTATTCCAGCAGAGCTACCTAAAAGTCACTGTGTCAGTCTTGTTCTAAATTTCATACCAATTATTTTAAGGAGAACTGCCCTCCACACTTCACTTCTCATTCCCAAGAGACACAATGCAGGCCGCAAAAAATTGATCAAAAAGGCAAGGAATATAAATCCTGCGTTTTGGCTGAGAAGGGGAGGAGGTTGTTGCTCTAGCTGTTTTCCACTGCCATCCCCTGGGTATCAGCACACCTGCTGCCCAGGAGCATGGCAGTGAGCCAACCCTTATGCTCCAGAATGTCCTTCTGGACCACGTGCTGTGGCAAGTATTAAACCAGGTCCTTCCACAGACGAAAAGGTGAACAGCAACATGATATGATATGGTAAATGGATCAGGACAGGTACTGGACTAACCTTAATTGTTTGCTTGTCTCCTAATATTCAGGATTTTCAGTACAAATCAGAGTGAAGCAACACCAATACATTTCTTACAAAGCAATGCCACTTTGCTGCGAGTATATTTAGTGTGGATTCACACACTGAGTTTCAGTCAGGCACGTCTCTCTGCAAAGGCAGGACTTACCTCGGTGAGGTCCTGGCTCCTTCTATATCCAACAGAAGGAAAAGGTCTCCTGCAGAGTACAGTTCACCTCATACTTAAGAAGGTGCCCACAAGTATCTCTCCCCACCCCTTGCGTTTCTAGCAACTCTAGCTCAGGATAGGCATATCCTACAGGTATGGAGACCTACACAGAGTCACAATTTAAAATTCACCTGGAAACATCAAAGAAATTCTACTGGTTCACTAGCCTTGTGCCATTCATTTTCTCTATGCAACATCCTGATAAAACAAAGTTCCTCCTGAGAGCCTCAACATACTGAGTACCTTTAATAGGTCACATTCAGCAAAAAAACTCAAACTTATTGTGTCAAAACTTTAATCATGAATTGTCAAAAAAGACTTAACAATTACAGGTCTGTGATACTCAAGTAACACTTGTGGTCCGGAAGGAAAGCCTTGCTAGTAAGTAGCAGATTGCACTATTCGTTCCCACCAAAGCACCCTCTTAACAGACAAGCATGAAACATCAACTTGGGCATTTTGGCATTTTAAGTTTACAGAGATGAAATATTCAAAACTTACCACAATCTTTTCAAGCCAAATCCTTTGAGGAAGTTGTTAAAAATAATAATAAAGAAAAAGGGTAGGGGGAAATGAGTTTTATTGTAAATATTCAATATACTTGAAAAAAGACATGGAAGACTGGGGCATTGTACAGAATCATACTCTGACTTCAGTTATTTATTTATAATAAAAGACTATTTACAAGACAAATTCACTCCTTGCCCTGTCTAAAATACGGATTGTTCTGCTTGCCTTCACTCATTTCAGAGAGAAGTCAGCCTTTGGTTGTGCTTATATTCTAATTTTCTTCAAAAATAGAACATAAATATTGGAAACTTTTTACCTAGACTGTAAGGTTTATGATACAGGGAGTTTGGTCTGCTTTGAATGTGCAAAATACTTCACACAGTGTCTAAAATCTCAGAAAGCACTGCAGTAAAATACAGTAAATAAAACCACACAACTTTGCAATAGTATAAGTGATTATAAAAAAAAACCAAAATAACAAAACAAATAAGGTAATGACATTTTTGTCTCCAGATGTCACAGATCCTGTTGAGAAAAATTAATTTTCTGGTGAATTAAACAGAATTTCTTAATAACAACTACTATCTGAATGGTAGTTTTTATTATTGTTATTATAGTTGAATTATGACATCTGCATTTGTGAACATATTTAATTGTAGAACTTTATCTTTACTCTTCCAAGAGTGTAACTAATCTGTTGTAGACTAAATGAGAAACTATCTCCATAAAACAACATGTGATGCAAAATATCTCAATTTAAAACCAGATTTCCCTTTTCATTAATTTTCTTCATTAATTCCTCAGCCTCTTCATTTGCAGCTCTTGCTTTTTGACATTGAGCCTCCATTGTCTTCCTAGTTTCCAGATTACATTCAGCTGTTAAAGCAACCATCTTCCTTTCATACTCTTCTTGAATCTCTTTCTCCATTGCAAGAAATTGCTTTTTGAAAACTGAACTTATCTTCTTCTCCACATGAGGAAAGAGGCTGTGATTTAAGACCATGTTCTTCAGCATCATAGCAATCACTTCTTTACAGATCTGTGTTCGACTGGCTTCCAGATCAGCATCTGCCCGTGTCAGGCTGGCAACCTCCAAACTGTACAAAGGTAATCAGAACTGTTAGAAATCACAGATTATGGGAAATTTCTATGAGAAAACAAGATTCTTGTATCTAGAGCATTCAATCTCTAGATTGCATCTAGACTCACTCAATATTGGGTAATGAAATGGCAGTCAGAGATGTGCAGGAATACCACAGTATATTAGTTTATTAATCATTATAGTAATCATTCATTAAACAGCAGGGAGAGTCACCTTCTACTACAGCAACTTTAATGAAATATGTCCGTGCCTCCATTTCCATTTCAGACAAAATAAGTAAAACCTTTTCTTTACTAATACTCAAAACATTCCCTCAGATAAAAGCCAGTAGAAATGTCTGACCCCCTCCCAAAAAAACCTCCACTATCTCTTTTGGGAAGCAGATCAAATGGGCACCTGAATAGACTATAAATTTTACTGACTTAAAACAGCTCTAAACTCACTGACCCATCTAGATTGATACACCACTGCTTCATATTCTTGGCTGGTATACTCCCTTCTCTGGAGGAAAGAGGGGACCATTTCAATTAAGTGCTGATACAAATAAAATAGCTGGTATCTGTCTCTCATGAACACTAACAGAGTTCTAGAAAATAGATTAAAACCAGATGGAAATACAAGAGCTTTCAGAAAATGCAGTATGTCATGTTGCATATAAATACATTCTCCTTTATCTTTAGAATTAAATTGGAATTATAATTATTCTAATTTCATATACAATGTAACTACTCTAAATTCTACACCTGAACTCAATTCCACACTGGAAAATTCACTGAGTTTTGCTCCTTCATGACAAATTACAAGAATACATAACACTGTATTCTTCTGCCTGTGGACCATCAAATATGAATTTCTTTGTGACCTACAAAACATACTTTTAGGAACCTAAACCCATTCATTTTTTCTGCTTAGGCTAAATTATTGGTCTAAATTTTCCACAGAAAAATCTCAGAATAAATTTCAACCATAGCAAAGATCTTGGTAAGACTTGCAAGAGAGTGGAATGATATCTGAATGGATACATTCAGAATCATATAAATGAAGGCATGAAAATCTAGAAACCCTTCGGGTTTTTTGTCTTTCCTTTCTTTATGTAAGCAAGTCAAGTTTAATTAAAAGTAAACCACTGACATATCATCATTGCCTCCCTGACAGCACAAGAGATACAGTCTCCCCATCTTGAAATTGAAGGGATGGAATTGTTTTCATACAATGACTCAAACACTTGAAGAATTTGGGAGACTAGCTTTGGAATGTAGTCATCTACCACAGAGTGATTTCCTGTTGCAATTTCTCAAAACCACAGAAACACACTGGTGATGGCTGTCCTCATCGTGGCAAACTGCTGCAGGGCTGGGTGGCTGGTTGCAGCTACTAAACCTCCTCCATTTTACTCCCTCTTCCATAAGGAACAGAAATGCCTGCAATTGAAGTACCACAAGCCTGAAACATTCCTCACAGTAATCTGCAGATCCTGTAAGAGCTAATATTCGCTATAATATCCCCAAGGCAACACGAGCATCCAGCTTCTCTCCTGTCTACAGATGGACACTGCAGCTGGAGATACACAGCTTTCTTGGCTAACATTCATCTACATTCATGGTGGAGTACCTCAGGGCACTGATCCCTGGGGAGAGTCCTTCTTGCTCCAGGACAGAGTGCAGGTGATGGCAGGTTCAAGGTAACAGGAGACTGAAGCAACACAGCAGATACAGATGTGTGTTTTCCCTTAAGCCATTTTGTTTATAGTCTTAGGACTTTTGTTGACACAGCCTGCTATTATCAAGCTGTTTGTGACAACTTGAAGAAAAGCAGCATTTCAGAGTTGTGTAAATGCACTTAAACAAAACCAAGGATTCAGAGAATGGGAGCTTTATGCTATAATATTTCTCTAATGACTGTGAGACAGTAGGAGGCTTTCCTTCTTCACCAATCCATTATTAGCCTGTAAAATCCAAGCTAACAGATTTATTTTTCTGTTTTATTTTCTGCTTTAAGTTCAGCAGTTCTAATTTAATTGAAGAATATCTGTCTTCTGTGAGAAACATCCTGATTTTCAAGCATCCCCTAATAACAAACTAAACATTTTAATCAGTTGTTCTGCTAGATAATTTCTCTAATAAATGGTAACCTCGTCCTCAGAATTTTATTAGTTACAACTTTCAACTCTCTTTGTTTGCCAGAACAACAAGTTCCTTAGTCATTATTTTTCTGTTCTTCAAGCATGCAATAATAGATGGTCACCTCAGCACCTACTAACCCTTTCTCACTGAGATGTGAAAGACTGAATTCCTCATCTCTCTCCCTGGAAAGTAACACTTCACAGCTCTACCACATTGTTACATAGTTCATAACACATAATTTACTCCTTATCACAAATACAGGGTTTTTTTAAAGCATGCTTCAAAGAAGATTAAAACCATTCCTCACCCACCGGTTACTTTTCCACTCTTCTTTATGAGTGATCCTGAGAATGAAAACCTTTCCCTCAGTCTTCCCACAGCACTTCTGCTTGCTGCAAGTCATTGTAGACCCAACCTGGTTCCATTTCAAGCAAGATTCTCACACTCATTTTCACCCTCAAGGAGAACTACAGTACCCCAGTAACTCCACATGATGGAAATGCAGGAGGAGCAATGATAATAATCACCTGACGCTGGTGTGTCAGCAAGTGAATAACGAGGCTCCTAAGATCCTCGGGTGTATTTAACCTGCAACTCACACTCTTCATTTTCCTGACACCTCATTGGTGAAGAAGGCAATTGGTGAAGAAGGCAGAGAAGGTTTTGAACTGTTCCACCAAAGGTCAACAGCAGAGAGAAAAGTATTTACAAGCCACAGCTCTCCCAGGCCACATCTTCAAAGACAGCAGCCACACCATGACCTTTTGGCAGTGGCAGCTGAAGAACGGTTATGTCTGTAAAAACTTGAAAGCTCCCTTCTGTGTGATGTGCTCTATTTCTGATCCATGATCTTCACACAGCAGCCAGCAGAAATGAGACAAGCTCATCATACACATCAGAAACCTTGCTTCAATCCCTTTACTCAAAACAGAGGGGTTGAGGGCACCCCTAGCATGCTGCATCACACCAACAGTCAGTAAAAAAGGAATCCTGTATATATAATAAACTGAACGCTTTCATTTGGTTTCATTCAAGTCCCTCAGAAGAACAATGTTTACAATCAACCAGATTAAATGTTTCAAGTCACACAGGGAATAAAAATTCTAGCCTGACAGTCTGTGTCTCCTCAAGCCAAGGTACGTTTATTAATTTGTTTTAAATGCTCTGCACTCTGTTGTTACTGCACTTGATGTTTAAAAGGTCTTGCCTCACTTCCTGAGCATATTCAGCATCATAGAAACATGAAAGCTAATGAAGTACAGGTAGCTGTTGGCAACCTACTGATGAAATAGACGAAAGCTTTGGCTGGATAAAGCATGCAGAGAAAGGATGAGGACAGTACAGAAGGCAGGTGGCACAAAAGGGTGGGGGTAGGAAAGGTGAACAGAAGCATAGAAAATGAAACTTCAAACAGCAAGTGTAAAGCTTTTTCACTCACTTGAAGAGAAAGGTTTTAAAAATCTGTCAGAGAGATCTGGAAGTGGAGAATCCCAGATGTCAAACACAAAGAAGCAGAGAGAGTGTCTGAGCAACTGATGTCCTCCACAGACCTAGTGAAAGAACACAGGAAAGCAGCTGGGGTCAGGAAAGCAACTATAGTTAATTATAAAAGAAACCAACTATAGTTAATTATAAAAGAAACCAAACCAAAACACAACATGCTACAAAAAAGGAAACCTCTCATTAACTGCCAATTAATTGTGTCTTTAAGTCTTATTCAAATTACAGGCCCACAGAGAGAATTTTTGAACAGGAGAACTAATAGCTGCTGACTTTAACAGTCCTAAAAATAACTAATGGCTTTCAAACACATTTTTAAAACTAATTCTGAATTTACAAAGATAAGAAACTACTGAGACACAACTTTCTGAAGTCTAAACGGGAGAGAAGCATTAAACAAATTCCCCTTCAGTGACACTTTCTCATGGAAACAGAAAAGCCTGTCATTCTCAGAAGGCTCATCTCTCCTCTGCCAATTAGTAGCACACATATTACAGAAAATATTCAGAGGAGACTGGAGCTCTATGGTAGCTGTTTCTGTAAAAGTATTGCTTCAAATACACAAGGCTCCTGAAAAGTATGTAATTAAGTAATTCAGAGCCACTGTTCCCACTTCAGCAGTGACTCAGAGCTCCAAGGCATGGCAGCTGCACCAACTCCCAATGGAGAGGGGAATAGAAAGAAGGAAGGACAGACAGACAAGCACCCCAGCCTAGTGGCACCCACTGTTACAGCCAGAGCAGCACATGTCCTGTACCCACAGGCACAGTAACGATGGGACAGCTGCAGTGGGGAAGGAAACAGGAGGACAACATCCAGCATTATACAGGTCCATGCTGACCTGTCACACTTCAGAGGAGTGAGGATGGAGAACGAGTCAGACAAAAGGAATCACAAAGAAACCAATTCCTGCAGTCCTGGCTTTAGTCACAGTAAGCAAAAGCAAGCCAATTTGAGCACAATGGGCATTAGAGGTCTCCAAAAGCTGCTGATGTGTTTTGTTTCACAAATTATCCATTCATTGAGGGGTTAGTAATACAGTATCAGTAAGTTGGGCTGCATTTTGTTTTTTGGTTTTTTGTCTGTTTAGTTTGTTGTGTTTTGTTGGTGTTTTTTTAAAGTACCATGCCAGTGTGACCCCTCTGTGCAGTCCCACACCTTCCTCCCTTCAACACTTCCCTCCTTTTTTCCTTACTTTGTACTCCATGCTCTTCTGCTGGGTCCAGTCTCAACAGACTCCAAACACTTCAGAGCAGGGATTTACACAGCTGCAGCACAACAAGGCACAAACCTTTGCAGGAGACTCAAACTGTACTAAAGTAGAAGCAGAGGCAATGGTATGAGGTCTGAACACCCACCAACAGCTACTGACTGCCCAAGCCCAAATTCTTCAGCCTACTATGCCAGAGTGGGATGTGCTGCCTTTTCCCTGGTCCCTGCCTGCTGCCAGGCTGTGTCAGCACAGGTCTGAAGATGCTCTGTGATACACCAGTAGCTGTACTGGCCTGCAGCCAGCTCTGAACTGGGCGAGTTCATCCATCAGTCCTGTGGCACTTACACAGCCAAGCATGAACTCAGCACAGCTCACGCAGCAGACTACAGAGAATACGAGACATCAGATCAGTAAATGAAATTGCTAAGAAAGGTACAGAAGGACTATCTAAGGATGCCTTCACGTGGATGAGCCACAGATTATGTTTAGTATTCCAGAAGTCAGAATGCTGACAAAACCAAAAACAGGATTCCTGATACACAGCCAAGAAATTATAATCAAATAAAAAATTGAACAAGATAATAAATTGAGCTGAGAGACCAGAATCTCTTCAGAAAACAAAGGTTCATGAAAACCTGACAGAGTCTAAGCATTAGATCTGGCAGCAGTTTCACCTACCAAATTCCTTTAATTCTCCATAGTGATATAAAGAGAGTATTTAAATTCTTACAATTATTTGTTTAGAAAACATTTAAAAAATACAGCATTTAAGAGACTGAGAACCTCTGCATTGTTTGCAGAAAATAAGAAATGACAAATCAGTGATCTTCAGAAAATCAATTTTAAAAATATCTCTACCTACAATACTGCTGTAGCAACAGAATTCAGAAAATGGCTTAGAAGAGTAACTATGCAAAAAAAAACATACGAAAGATTCTAATTCTGCTTCTGGTGAAGTCATCACACACTTCACTGATTTCAAAAACACCGGCAGCCTGAATACTAACAAAATAATAAATACTATTGCTGAATGCATTATGCATTAATGCCTGAGGAGCTTCCAACTCTGCTATGATCTCCTCAGATTCTTCTGATCTATCCAGGCAGGGTGAGTATTCAGATGACAGAAATGGGAGGTGATATCAACTTTAATTTAAAATTATATGGAATACAGCATCAGGAACAGCAAAACTCTCAGAAGGACACACTCTTCTGGGTGAGAGAAATTGTTCCAGATAGACAGCAGAAACCACCCTTATAATACTAAATACTTCACACCTAGCCAGCATCAAAGAAAAGTGACATTTTTAAGATGAAAAAAGATATGTATTCATCAATTTCAAATCACTTGTTTTCTTCAGCTCCTCAGTCTTACAGGCTCCTATCATATATTAAGCATTTGAGCTCTGATGAAAAAAAAAGTATAGGTTACACACTTGTGAAGTTTCTAGGAAAACTAGAAACTTAGTAGCATTCAGAACACAGAACTACAAATGCAGGGTTTGGAGTTCACACCATGAGCATTCACTGCATCTTGTATCAACATGATTATTATTTATAGTTATATTCCTGCATTGTACACATTTCACAAAAAGAGAGTACTGAATATGCTCTCCCTTCTAAAATTCCAAAATTTTAATTACGCTCTTTCCAAGTTATGAAAAACAGAAATTTAATCCCCTATATTTTTTTTTGTACTAACCTTGTAACTATTTCTCACCATTTCCTGTGTAGCAATACTCAAGACTATGTGCTATGACAACATGATCATTTATACCCCATCCCCGGTGGTGTTCAAAGATAAGGCTTTGAACAACCTGGATAAGGCCTTGAGCAGACGGGTCTGGTGGGAGGTGTCCTCGCCTCTGGTTGGTGGGTTGGGAGTAGAGGATCTCTAAAGTCCCTTATAATCCCCTAAGATTCTATGATTCTTACTTTCCATTTAAATTCAGGCTTTAAAAAACCAGAACACTTGCTCCATAGCAAATCAAATTGGCAGGTACAGCAAGAAATTTAGATTTTAAAAGAAAAAGTGAACTCTTAAGATCATGGCAAATTGTTAATATTTTTCTGTCAAAGCTTTTTGGAGACAGTTTAATCCTGTTCTCTAGTACACTGGCCTCAGTGTTCTCTACCACAGGACAAAATCAGCTGCAATGTACACATATTACTTACTCATTTGCCAAAATAATTGGCAGTACATATTGTGTATCAGCAAGCAGGTTCAAATTCAGCTAGATCTTTGACAACTCAAGGAAGCACAGCTGTACAAAATGAAGATTAAAAAGAAAAGATGTAGTACTGAAAAGCCATTTAAAGAAATTATGTTCCCTTCAATGTATCTGTATCTTTTGAGACTATGAGAATGGTCAAGCTCCATCACACTGAACACAAACCAAAACTGCTCAGCTTTCTTCATATTCTCCTGCAGACATATAGAAAAAGAGGCCCACAACATTTTGGAACATGATCTTCTAGTGTGCACATCAAATATCCAAATCATATAGCTTCCCCTCATTAGTATTCATTGCCCAGAGGCCAATATTCAGTAATATACACAGCAAGGAACCTACCGAGAATAAAAGCCAAGCTATTTTGCTGCATAATGTACATCAAGGATATGACTTATTTAAACAAAATTCACAAAATGAGTAACCAAAAAGCTTCCTTATGAAACATTTAAAGTATGTTTTGTTCTCTAGCCAATCCTCCTGACACTGCAAACTGTCTATACTCCAAAGATGTCCCTGTCCATAAATATTGAACACATGCTCCTGATGTATCTCCTAAACAATTTGGCACTCTCACTTCTTAAAAAACAGAACAATTTTACGTTGCAAAGAAGAAAATAACATGTGGCTCTTACTTTTCAGAGTATTTTTCTCATTTGTATCTGAAAGAGTAGAATGATTCCAACTGTGACAGTGCAATGAAAAGGATGTTACTGATTATGCTGGCAAGCTTGTACGTGTGTCACATAGACAAAAATAAAACATACCTGCATCAAAACATGCAGAAAGAATTACCAAGGTAGCTGATGTTGATTACAAACAAGAGGATGTTGGTTGGCTGAAAATTCCTATCACCTTTTCAATCATCTTTCATAGCAGGAATCACTCTAACTCTGAATACCTTTGTAGTCTATCTACTATCCTCACCCTGGAAAAAGGAAGATAGCTTAGAAGGTGAAGCAGGTTAGTGAGTGTTGACTAATGGGCAACGCTTTATTTACTGCAACACTTCCTCTTTAGAGGTAAAGAAAACAAAACTGAGGAAAAAGGAAGCAAGAGACATATGCACTGACTTCGTAAAAATGTTAAAAAACTTTAGCCCTAGACAGGCATTCAAACTAAGATACAAATCATGTTTTGTAGGCTTAGAAATAAACCTGTTGTAAAAATAAACCTTTCCAAAAGTTTTCAAGAATATTTACCTTTTTATCCATAATGTATCTGAAAACAGTTCAGCAATTTTTTTTCAACACAGCTAGATACTAACTATCCCTGAAATAAATTAAAATTAAAGTGAGTTTTAAAAAAATTTTGATCCTGTTCTTATTAATATTCACAAAATTATTTTCAGGATAAGCCTTCACATAGCCCAAGTTGCTATACAGATATAAAAGCAAGGACCAATGTGCAATTTACAGAGATAAGTTTCCAATTATCAGGGAAAGGCAAAAAATAATGTTGTTGGTTGCTCTTTAAGAAAGAAAACTCCACCCATGGTTTTGTAACTTTCCAGCCTCTACAGATTTTATAGTTGCATAGTACTGCCTTTAACCTCACTTACCAGGAGGTAATGGTAAGACTGCATCAACAACAACTGTTCACCTTCACATAGGACCTTTTTATAAAATTGATCTGAAGAACAGGTGATCTTTAACAGTGGCACATTTCCGTCAAAAAGCCTTTCAACAGTATCAGGAGTGTTTCTGTGCTCTAGCAAGTGGTCCCACCAATCACAGGTACCTGGTATCCTTCTGACAGCACTACAAACTTTCACACCTTAGACTCTGATCCAGCTGTTTTCAAAATACACTGCTGAACAGTAACGCTGGCACTCAGCAGGGGCTCTCTTTTCTAGGACAAAAGCCACCCTTTTGAAAGTAGAATGTGTTAAGCAACAGTAGAATACTGTGTTTTAGTATCTTGCACACCAAGAAATTTCCCTTCATGTAGTGAACAACAGAGACAAAGCAAGGTGTTTATTTGGATTGGAAAACTTGCATGTCTGAGGCCTAGATGGAGTTCTGATTTCTTAAAGTGAATTGATATGAAATATGATGGCTTTTCATTCTCATGGATGATTGTTTGAAACAGTTCAAAAACCTAAGGTAGTGCAGCAATATGTGTAAACAGACACTATAAAAAAACAATAAAGAGGAGATACTCAAAATATATTAAAAGGTTTGGCTGATGATAAAAATAATAAATGTGATGTAATAGCAGTGAATTCTTACTCTTCTAAAGCCTGAAGCATGTTCCCAGGTTCTTCAAAGGACAGAATATCAATGATTTGGTCATTCATAGTTATGTCTTCACTAAAGAGATCACCTGAATTAAATTGAGAATGCTCCAGTTTGTGATTTTGGCTGAGATCAGGCTGTATCTCCTAAAAAGGGGAGAAAAAGCAGCAAACTTTAGACTGTAAAAAACAAATGTTTCATGAGTGTCCGATCTACTTTTTTTGCAGTTTAACTCTGGGCGAAAAGGTTTCTACTTATCATCAAACTGTAAAGCTGGAAAGAATATAAAGAGGTTGTGCAGTTCAGATATGTCTCTGAAATCAAATATACTGCTTTTCTTTTAGACTGATCTTTTTTAGTATATAACTGATCTGGAATACAGAAGAAGAACTGGAGAACACAGAACATTTGTGAAATCATCTACGAAGTTGTCTTCCACTTCAAACTTTCTAGGTAATTTTCAAAAAAATTGAAGTGGTATACAAATTACATATGGCAACATTACAGTATTATTAGGTGAACAACATGGAAAAACTAATCCTATCCATGATGGAAGTGACTCAGTTCACGGAGACTTCAGATTGAGGGCTAATAATACAGTGTAAAAACCTCAATATAAATATCTGATGCTAGACCAAGCTAGACCTTTTTTACTAATTCATTATTACTATTTCTGTTGTAGAAAGAAGCAAGTCACATCCTTTTCATTCAAAGAGATTAATTTTTCAGACATAAATAAATAAAAGTTACAGATGGTGTAATTTTCAACTGCAGAAAGGCTGTAAGTAATTGTGAACTACTCTGGTCAATTCAAAGGGATGAGAGATTC